TTGTTTGTTTGTTTGTTGTTTTACATTTGTAAGTTTTTGGTCCTTTTTAAAAAAAGTAGGAATTATTTATGGAAACTTCAATTTTTCACTGCTAATAAAACATTTGTTTTGGGGTAAATGTTAATAAATTCTTTAATTTTGTTTTTAAGTATCCCATGTGCCTGGTATATTAATTTTCTATTCCTACTGTAAAAATTACCACAAATTTAGTATCTTAAAACAACACAGATTTATCATTTTACAGTTCTGTAGGTTAGAAATTGAACATGGGTCTTATTGGACTAAAATCAAGGTACTGGCAGGACTGCGTTTCTTTTGGGAGCCCTTAGGGCAGATCCACTTCCTTGTATTTTTCTGCTTCTAGAGGCCAATAGCATTGCTTGGTTTAGATTGGACCCATGTTGGTAATATAAGATAATCTCCCCATCTCAAGGTTTATAATTTTTATCACATCTAGAGAGTTCCTTTTACTGTGTAAGTAACATATTCAGATTCTATGAATTAGCACATGGCCATCTTTGGAGGTGACTTTATTCTGCATACCACACCTTTAGACATTTTCATTTTAGTGTTCTGGATATAAAAAGAAGTATGCAGATAATAAAATGTATTATTATATTATTCTAGTCAAATGACATTTCTCTTTAACTGGAACACTGAGCCACACACTGTTATAGGTACTGCTTATGGTTTGTTTTATTGGAAAGATAGTAATGAAAATGAAATGTTTTGGCTATGGTATCAAAGTTCACAATATACACTAGTATCATCTTTATGGTTAGTGTAATATTTAAATAAACCCTTTTTTTAGCTTTTGAAAATCATTAAACAATTTTATATTTTCAGATTAATAAAATAAAATATAATGATATGGGTTGAAATTTGCCTAGGAAACTTTTTTTCTCACATTTTAAGTTTAAATAATTTCATACAGAAATTATAGAGTTTTCTACAAAGAAGGAAGAATAAAGGAAAGAAACAAAGAAATATATTAATGTGACCTCACTCATTTAAGTCCTATAGAAACCTGCAAAGGTGATGAATCATGTGGACATATATAAAAAAAATATGTAACAGGTAAAACATATTTTAATTAAGTATGAACTATCTTTATATTAGGTGACACTGATGAAAAGTATAGATAAATAACTACCTAGTTAAGCATAGATCTTGAAAAAGTATTATTATAATTTGAGGTTCTTATTTGAGATAGTCATGTATGAATTTTTAAAGAGCACCTTTATATAACTGCAGTTCTCCAATTTAAATAATCCAAAATTTAGTTAAAAAATATTGTCATTGATTTGCAAAGAAATAGTTGATATATCTTTATTTATTGATTGATTGATTTATTGATTTATTTTTTTGGGGGGGCGTTTTTTTGTTGTTTTTTTAAGATTTTTATTGGGGAATTGGGGGATGGAAACAGCCCTGGGGAATTGGGGGAAGGGGAACAGACAAGTTGCTGTCCTTTTGTTCTTCAGTCTAGTTGTGGAGGACGTTGCTTC